GTGTTAGTTCTCTGGGCTGCCACACCATAGGTCACGTGTTCAGCATCCCCGCGCCACCTCTGGTCAGTGCCTCCTGTTAGTTCTCTGGGCCGACACACCGCAGGTCACCCGTGCGGCATCCCCGCGCTACCTCTGGTAAGTGCCTCGTGTTAGTTCTCTGTGCTGACACACCGCAGGTCACCCGTTCAGCATCGCCATACTTGTCACCTCGTGGTTTCCATGCGGAGAATCAGGAATCCTGCATCTGGAGTCTGAGCATGGCTCAGCCTTGGGGTCCCTTTTGAGGCTGTGGCCTAGGAGTGGCGGGTCTGGTCATCTGCTGCCATGCTCACCCACGCGGTGCTGGTGGGACGTGGCTCCTGGAGGTTTGTTGGACTGAGGCCACTCTCCATTTGTTGTGGGCCTTTGGGCATGGCTGCTGCGAGAGAGGAGCCAGAATCTGTTATGATCTCATCACAGAACGGTCCCTCAACACCGAGGTATTGTATTGGTTTGAGGCCAGGTACTCAATGGAGGGGCCTTGAAGACCAGGGGTGGCAGGTCCTCTGGCGCTCAGCCAGGGCCGGCCCTGGGCCTCTTCCCTCTGCTTTCTTTACTCTGCCCCCATCACTAGGACACCCTGGCTGCCAACTCTTCCACCTGACCCAGTGCAGGCTGGTTCACCTCACCCGTCACGCTTTGTCCCCGGCTTACGTGTGTCACCCTATCTCTGCTTCATTTCCACTTTTGTGTCTGCAGGAATCCCTCCCTCTTGGGTTTCGCTGACTCAAGTTCTGTTTGGCCCCTGAGCCCATCTCGGTTTCTAAACCTTATGAAAAGCCTTCCACTAGCTACTCCAACCTGGGTAATTTCTGTCTTTGAACTCTCTCTAATGTCACATCATTGTCATTGCCCTGGCTTTACCACTTGTCAGCTAGCTGTTTTTATTGTACAGTGCTAATCTCTCTGAGCCTCAGTTTCCTCCTATGTAAAATGGGGATGTCAATGTCTATATCGTGTGGCGTTTGTGATGGCCTAAGTAGGGAGTGCAGATAAGACGCTCAGCACAGGGGCTGGCATGGAATAACTGGTGACGAGTTGTATAGGTTGAATATGTTCTTTCTGTTGCATGCAGGTAGCTCTGCAGCCAGACAGTGCCTGAGAGACGAGCAGGAACCACGTCTGCCGAGCCAGCACTCAGCGGGCTGAGGGGCGCTCTCAGTAATACTTGCTGATCTGTTGGATGGCTAATGGGTGGTTGGTTGATGGATTAATTAATAACTAACGCTGTTTCATAGGTATAGAATAGTCCATGAGCTAAAGTTCAGAGCATGTGCTACGCTCTGTGGGTTTTGGAGGCAGGTGGTGCTTAGTTTTGCTGACTTAACTTCTCCACGGAGTCCTTCCAGAGTTAGAAGTAGACACAGATGCCACAACTCTGGGTGGCAAAGTAATCCTGTTGAGGACTCAGCCTGGGCTGCTCTGCTCAGGGTTGTGGATCTTGTGGAGTGACGTTATGGGGCTTTTCCCATACAGGCTTCTTCAAGAATTAGCTTGTCTAGTTCACGCTGCTGAACTTGTGTTCCTTCTAAAGATGTGACCTCGTGTTTTCATCTTCTTTGGAGTTTGATAATGAATCAATATGTTTAATAGAAAATTAATTGGAACACAGTGTTGCTTAGTTAGAAAATATAGTCACCTCTTCCGTTGTTCCTGTTTGTTGATCTTGTATATGTACTTTAGCATATTTGTTGTCATCAGTGAATAATTATTAATCTGATAACTGGATCTTCAGAGAACTGAACTAGCGCCCGTAAAAACTTTGTTTGAAATATATTTTTTTTAACCTAATGGTGATACTACATACTTCTTCATTCATATTGTTTAGGCAGAGGTTAAAACATGGAACCTAACTATATGTTGCTAAAGTAAGTTACAGCCAAAAAGTAGCTCTCCCTGTGTCTCTAATAACGTGTATTTTAGATTTGTTTTTAGTTTTTGACCTAATGTTGCTACTGAGGCTCCTCTTTAGGTAACCGTATTCCATAGTAGCTGTTGGGAAGATTTATTTTGACCTCCTCCCAAACTGGCATTGACCAAACACCTTCCTGTGGCTTAGAGTCTAGGGGCCATGCTGTGGGTTTCTACCACTGCTGCCTCTCTCTCACGTGGCTTTGTCATTGTGGCTCTCCTTAGACTCCCATGTGCCACTCGGCACATTCCATGTGGTCACCTCTGCATTTTTCGTGGGAACCAGGCCTCCTTTCCTGTCTGTGCTCACAGTCCATGATTTATCCATGCTGGGTGTTTCCAGGAAGCCCAGCCTCCCATGTGCTGACTGCGAGTAATTGCACCCTTGCAACGGAACTGGATTTTCCTGTGCTGTAAAGGTAGTGGAAAGAAAGGGATGTTGTCAGATCTGGTGCAGTGAAAATAGAAAGGGTATTTCACTGTCCTGTCCTTTTGTTTCATGAAAAGAGCATCTACTCTTCTGTTGATGTCCCCACCCACCCCCAAACACCCACTTGGCTGTTGGTGGTTGTTCCTGGGGGGCCTGACCTGGCTGAGCCAGGTGACGTCCTGCTCCAGGAATTCTGGGGAGAGGTCTGAGGGTCGGCTTCCTCTTCCTGGGTGCCTGGTGAGTGGGACATCAAGCCCGGGTGCTCTGGGCACCTTGGCCTTCTGCCCTGTGGATGTGAGGAAGCCAGGTGAGGGTTGAGAGAGAGAAGTGGACAGGAGCAGGGGACAGAGTGTCTCCGTGGTGGGAGCGTTCCTGGCACTAAGTCTTCCTCCAGTCCAGCCGGAGTTCCTTGGTGATCCTGAGACATGCCAGGCTTCTTAGGTTCCATTTCTCTTTTGCTCAAGCTAGTTCCAGAGCAGTTTCTGAGCTGCTCGTGTGCACCGCTGGTATCCTGGGAGAGGGCACAGGCCCCGGCCTGGGGCACAGCGTCTTCTACCTTGCTTGTAGCTTACATATCCTTTCCATTTCTGTCACTCTCTCCTTCCTGATGTCTGTCCTGGACCCTGCTCTCCTTGCCAGCTGCAGTGCTCAGCTCCAGCCCTGTCCCCGCAGGTCTGCGTGCGCTGCTTCATGGTCCGTCTTCTGTGAGCAGGCTCCTGTGATGTGCCCTGGCCCACAGTGGCCCTCCGTGGCCTGCCTGGTCCTCACTGCCCACATCTCCGCCTGGTGTTTATGGACCTTGCAGCTGAACCATGCCACTGCCAGACTTGTGTGCGTGGTTTGGTGTCTGCTCTGCCATGCCCCTCCACCCCCCATTTTTACCTGTCAGTAATACTTTCCCTGGCCTGGCCCACACAGTGGCTGCTCCAGACCCCCCTGTCCTCCAGCAACTGGAAGGTGGTCTCTCCTCTGAACCCCCAAGCACTCAGCACTTCTCTGTTCCTCCTCCTTTCTTTGCACTGACTTATCCCTGTTTGGTCCCCCTCTCTGCCACCGTCATGCCCCCCACAGCATCCCCCACAGTAGGAATGAATCAACACTTTTTTGACCTGTTCCCCTGTGGGTCTCTGATGTCCCTACCTTTTCCCAGGCTCTTCTCACCACAGGCTCTGCTGGGCTAGTGACCCCCACTTCCTAAAAGCGTTTGCTGAGTGTCCCGGCAGGTGCTCGGATGGGAGGTGGAGCAGTGGTCCTTCCTGGGCCCGGCACCTCTTCTTCCTGACCCGAGTTTGACGTTTGTGTGCCCTTGATGCCGACCATGCCCCCTGCAGCTGCAGCCCAGTCTCTCTCTTTTGTAGACTGGAGGGATTCTGGGTCTTGTAACCTAAGCTTCAAATGACACCTCTGAAGTGTGGAGGCCTCTTATGGAGATGGGAAACGGCAGTCCTTCAGCCAGTGTGATCTAAACCATGAAGTCCTTTACATGCAGATTAGACGGGGGCCACTGTTTCTCACTGCGGACCGCATGTCTTCTGTCCTGTGCTGTAACTGGCTCCCCAGCACTGCCTCCAGTCAGTGCCTCCGTGCATTGGCCGCTGGCTCTGTGGGGACGTGCAGGCTTGATTGTCTCTAGTCTGGACACTCACTGCCCCTGCCTAGCAAGGGCCCTCTGCCCACTCAGACCTCCCCCCGGCCTCTGTCCGGAGCTGCTGCAGCCTGGCCTGCCTCACTGGACAGCGGGCCTCCTGGCCTCTGCGCGTGCCTCTCAGCTGGCAGCACAGAGCACAGAGGGTTTGACAGCAGCAGGGAATTCAGTGACGGTGCCCACACACAGCAGGGATGCTGGGGAGGTGCGTGAGAATGTCACTGAGTGGGCTGTACCCTCTGCCTTTGGATAAAGTCACCGGGTGGATGGACATTCAAACCAAAGTGGGAATAGTGAGGCAGCCACCGTGACCACCGTGACGTGCCTTTGTGCATAAGACGCCACCTGGGTGGAGAGATGAGCTTGAGGAGGGGCTCCCCTCCCAGGTTCTTAGTGGTCCCACCCTCTTTCAGGGAGGTTTCGGCCCCAAGAGAATGGTCCTCAGTGGTTCTGGGTGAAGTCTTCCTCATCAGCTCGCTGGCTTAATTAACCCCCATCTAAAGGATTTAGAAATCCTCAGATGAAGGGGCAAAGAGGAGGGGTCCAAAAACAATGTCCAACTGAGTAAAATACGTTTGTCCCTCTGGTGCCTTTTTTGCAGAACTGGTCATGTCGGCTTGACTTGCTCTGTCTCTGTCTTTGGGGAAAGCCAGGTGTTTGAGTTATTTCATGTCGTTTTCTTCAAGTTTGAGCCGATCGGCACTCAGCATGCACTTGCAAGCAAGTCCTCTGTAGAAGAGTTCTGTTAATGTGCTTTCTGATTTTTGCTGTGCTCAGTTTTATAGTTTTTTCCAAGTAAGATTTAAATATCCTGGCCTTTTAAAGGAAGAAAACAAAGAGCTTCCTAATTGTTCTTGATAATTACTGCAGTACTGTACTGTGAGTGTGGGCTGTTGTGAGTTCTCGGAAAAGAGTTCAAGTGTTCAAGTTACTCTTCTTTTCTTCTTCCTTTGAAAACCACTGTGATGTTTCCAGCTGGCCAGCTCGGCATCCCTGGAAGGGAAGGGACAGCTGAAATTCACCTCTGGCCGGTGGAGCCCGCATCACAACTGCACGCAGGTGGCCACGGCGAGTGACACGACCCTGCGTGGGTGGGACACGCGGACCATGAGGTCAGTGGCACCGGACGCCGGCTTCCCTGTCTCGCTGAACGAAACCATGGCTGTATGGGGACGACCATAGGCCACATGCATGTGGGGCATATGGTCGGTTTGTCTCCATCTTGTTTTTGTGGGAAATCATGAAGCTCCTCTAGCTTCTTCACCTGAGCTAAGCCAGCACCTCTGTGTGGGGAGCCACCGTGCCTCGGTTAACGGCCATGATCCATACTGAGCCTCTGCATCAGTGGCAGTTCATGGCCAAGCTCAGATCAGGTCTTTTGCAGCACTTCACAAGTGAAACGGTGACCACGGTGCCTGTTTGCACCACTGGCCTCTGCAGGTGGACACTTGCAGTCCCCTGGGGGAGTCTCTCTCAGAGTTGTCTCCACCATCTCTGTGGCTGCAGGAGACACACCTGCCAAGTAATCATATTTTGTCATTAAGTAATTACACACAACAACCAGCAGTTCTAACGGAACAAATAAGAGTGATTTTTCTGTTCCAGTTGTGACTTTGATGGGCAAAGGAGTGATGGCAGCCAGGCTGTTGCCATGGCAACGGAGGCCACATGAGCTTGTTTCAGACACCGTTTATCCCCTCAGCACACCATAATTTATCTCTGAGCCAAAAAGACGGATGTCGTGTAATAACTTGTGTTGCTTCCAGGGCGGGGGCACAACTTTAAATTTAGTTCTAAGGCCCCTCTGCACATTCCAGGCTAGTAAATAACCCTGTCCTCAGCTTGTGCATATCTGTACAAAGGGTTTATTCGGTTTCCTGATCCGAAGCTGGAAGCCATGGCCTCAGACCATGATGAATCTCCTACCAAAAGCCGTTTCCCCTTGTCCTTTAGTTATCTTTTCCTGTTTTAATTGTTCTTTGAAAGATATGAAGAATTTCATTATCTGAAAACAGGAATCTCAAAGACTGACATTACAGACTGAAAACAGCAAGACGGGCCTGGCTTTGGTTGGCAGCAGCCTACAGCTGCCTCCAGTGCACTCCCGTTGTCTGGGTGGAGAGCTGACTCCTGCAGGGAGGCCACGCAGCGGAGGAGAGCACGGCCTCATCTCTCTGCTGTCACTCTCCGTCTCTGGGCAGTTTTGGTTTCTCTTTAGCCAGGAGGCCTTCAGTGGCTCTTGAGAACGTAGTATGCTTTTGTGGTAGAATTACTGCCCCTAGAGCATGCAGCAAACCTGATTTAGTTAATATTCAGTGCAGGTGTGACTCTCCATTCACTGCCCCAGGAATCTGCCAAATTTTAAACTTTATACCTTAGTCTGTTTCACTTGAAAGATTAGAAAGTTTGGTGTATCTTATTTTAGGAAAAAAACTAGGATATTGTAAAGGTGCAGAATATAGAAAACAGTTTAAACAAAAAAGTGGTTTAGGGCTGCAAAATGCGATGTGGAGGAAAAAGACAAAAGGAATTTTCATCTGCTTGAGAGCCAGAGTGACAACGGTCTCAGATATGTGAAGGTTGTCCCAAGGACAAAGCTCCTGGCTGTTGCCATCCTAGTGCAGCCAGGACAGTGAGGACGTGAATGATCACGCGGCGTGCAAGCTCCACCGGGGCAGTGGGAGGGCAGCAGCGGCAGACCGGGCATGGCCTTTGTGTCCAGCCTCCCTGCATGACCTGCCCCTCTATTTTGGGTTCATGGCCTCAGGAGGAGCCAGCGTGGGCAGAATATTCTGATTTCAGACCCTGTGGGGAGCAGCCAGGAGCAGCGGGGGTCCAGGCCTGAGATAGGTGTGTGCACAGGCATGTGCAAACCCTCTTGTGCATCTGTGTGCATGCAGGCATGCATGTGAGTCCTTGCACCATGAACAACCATGTGACCCATTTCAAGCAATACCCCCTCCCCTGTGTCTTTGTTTTTAGAACAGGTGGATTGCATGGGACACCCGGCGCTGATGTCTGAGGTGGTGTGGGCAGAAGAGAAGCCGGCCCAGCAGTGACAAACATGCTTCCTTCATTTCTTCATTGCTTCCCCAGCTTTTTCTTCTCTCCCCCTCCTACCCTCAGTACCAACCACACGGCATTTGTTCGTTCTTCTCCCCCTTTTTTCCTTTCTCTCCTCACTGCAGCCTTCCAAATACTAGCAGCTGTCCCACCACATGCCTCGTTGTGGCAGCCACAGCCCACCTCGAGGTTCCCAGCTGCCCCCCTGGAGAAGCGAAAGCTGACTTACCCCATGGGAGTTGCTGAGGTGCAGGCACCTGGTGCCCCCTCGTGCAGGGGAGGGACTTTGTGGGGCTCTGAGCGCCTGGCTGGGGTTTCCAGGCTTGGCTCCACCAGCGGACCGGCCGTGCCCTTGGGCCAGGGATTAGCAAGGTCCTGGGAGAGAGACACAGCCTGCAGAGTCAGTGTCTTTCCATAATCCATTCCTTGTTTGCTTTTTTCCTCCCCCAGCCAGATATACTGCATCGAGAATGCCCACGGACAGCTGGTGCGGGACCTCGACTTCAATCCCAATAAGCAGTACTACTTGGCCAGCTGCGGGGATGACTGTAAGGTGAAGTTCTGGGACACCCGAAATGTCACGGAACCTGTGAAGACCCTGGAGGAGCACTCCCACTGGTAGGGCGACTCATTTGCATGTGCTTTAGGGGAGAGGGATTATGTAATTCATTTTGCTAATTACTTTACCATTGGGAAAGGCATAGCCCGGCTTAGTTTGTGCTGCTGTGAATCATTCAATCAACCGAATTTTATTTTTCCTAAAGTAACACTAATTCCAAATCTGAATGTTTGTGATTTATAAACATAGAAAAAGAAGAAAAACAGTGGATTCTGGTTTCTCTTGAAACCAGTTCGAGCATGCAAAAATAAGTGTGAACAGATGTTCACGCAGCATTGTTTGCAGTGTAGGGGGCTGGAGCCCACCCAAATGTCCATCAGTAGGGGATTGGCTAAGTAAATTAGGTGACATCCTTGCAGTGGAGATCACATAGCTGTCAGGAAAAATGAGGGACATCTATGTATGGATGGATGTGGAAGGATGCCCGAGATCACTCGTTCTTTCTACATATTATTTGAATTTTACCATATGCTGGCTACTTTTTGCTAAGTAAGTAAAAAGGTCAAGTTGCAGGACAGTATGTATAGTATGAATCCTTTTTTTATTCAAATAAAACATGTGCCCATGCTCTGTGTGTGTGTGCATTTGCACGCACACCAGTGTGCAGAGGAAAAGTCTGAAGAATAAGGCTGAGCTGTCATAGGGAGCCTCTCACACGTGAGGAGAGGCACATCACGGGCTTTACTTCCTGTGGCCTCTGTCTCTGAACTGTGTGAGTTATGTATCAGAAGCTACTTTGTTTCTGCAATCAGAAAATTAAAAGAACCCAGAATACTGGTGTGCAGTATTGATAAATCCAATGAATTGCTGTAATTTACTGCAGTCCAAGTAGAAACACCAGCTGTGCCTCTGGCCACATTGGGTGCACCTCCGCTTGCAGGGTGTCTGTCACTCCCTGCTCCTCCAGGCCCTGGGACTGCTGTGGCCTCAGCACAACTGAGGCAGAAGCTTGCCAAGCTCCAGGGCATGTGTCGGAAAGAAGTCCTAGTGGTCAGAACCCAGGCAGTCCTGGGCCCCTGAGAACCCCGCTGCTCAGATCTCAGCACCTGAGGCTGCTGTTGACTGGGAATAGGTCATGGGGCTTTGTTTGATGTTGACATTTATCCGTAATCCTTAATTTGCTTCTGGAGCAGTTTTTGTTTTTAGGATTTTAGAAAGCTTGTCTGGAACGTTGAGCCATAAGCCTTCTTCTCCCTCTTCAGGTTTGAGTTAACATTTAGTCTTTGTGGTCTCTGTTTGTTGGAACTTGAGAGAATGTTTTAGAGAAACGTGCAGTAAACCTAACCCTCCGCTGAAAACCGCCAGTGTCAGACCATGAGATTGGGCAACACCTGATGTCACCCCAGCACAGTGAGAGGTGTGACATTAGGTGTTGCCCAATCCCATGGTGAGAGGTCACTGTGCTGCATCACCATGTGAGACGGCCCATCTCTGTGTGCCCCTTGCCCTCTGCAGGGTGTGGAACGTCCGCTACAACCACTCTCATGACCAGCTGGTCCTCACAGGCAGCAGTGACAGCAGGGTCATCCTGTCCAACATGGTATCCATCTCCTCGGAGCCCTTCGGCCACCTGGTGGACGATGAGGATGTCAGCGACCAGGAGGAGCACCATCCCGAAGAGAAGTAAGACACACAGATGGCAGAGCGCCCCTGGCATGGGAGGACGCCCTGTCCTCACAGATAGTCTCTGGATGCAGGTGGTGTCTGTAAGAAGCGTCGGGTGTGTAGTTATGGGACTCGCAGTGCCGAGGTCATGAGCACCCAGGGCGGGTGGCATTACTGGTGGTTAGGGACCACTCCTGGTGTGGCTTTAAATCGTACGTCTCTGTATACTTCTTCCCATATTCTTCCTGATTGCCATATAGGAGATTTAAAAGACTGTCACTAGTCCTCAAACTTAAGCATTAACAGTAACAAGAACCAGCGTTCGCTGGCCCTCGCAGCCCTCCCTGGGAGAGACGTTGTTAGCATCCTGGCTGTCGTGGGTTTGAGCGTGTGGGGTGCAGTTGTTGACCGTTTGCTCACGGGCCCAAGGCTGGCCAGCGGTAGGTCGGCCAGGGCCTACTGTACCCCAGAGCTCCACAAAGTGAGGTGATGCCTGTCTTGCAGTCACGCCTTCTTGGTTCTGTATTTTCTAGAAACTCTTCCTACCTTTGCATTCCGATCCTAGTTGCATCCGCGATTGGCGGCTGGCCAGCGGTAGGTCGGCCAGGGCCTACTGTACCCCAGAGCTCCACAAAGTGAGGTGAGGCCTGTCTTGCAGTCACGCCTTCTTGGTTCTGTATTTTCTAGAAACTCTTCCTACCTTTGCATTCCGATCCTAGTTGCATCCGCGATTGGGAGATAGCTCAGGGCGGCACCCTCTTCCTGCCAGGGCTTAAGTCCCCGGTGATGCGTGGGCATTTGGGAGCCCCCTCTGCTAGTTAGTGACAGCAGGGCCTGCGGTGAGAGGCAGCAGGCAGAGCTGAGTCTGTCGTCAGCAAAGTAGATGCTAAAGGGAAAGCCCAAGTCTTTCTTGAGCAAGTTCATTTTCAAGTGTGGCAGCTGCTTCCTCTGTGGTGACAGCATGATTTAGATGCCACCACAGAGATTCGCATCTCAGATTCCAGAGGAAGGAGGTTCTAGAATAAAACCAGTGGAGTTGGACAGTTTGAGCCATAAAGTACAATAGGACTTTTCATTGTGTTTTGAGGTTCTTTAGGCTCTTGTATTGTCTGGACTCTTCTTGTCCCCCTGAGCTTAGTCTAAAATGACTCTGTGAGAAGCATTCTCTGTATGGGTGCCTTCGCTGTGGGGGGAGCCCACCCGTGCGCTGTCTCCTGACTGAAGAACGGCATTGCAGCACAGGTGCGGTGGCTTCCACCCAGCGGTCTCCCGTGTGACCGTCTCCTCTGCCTGTGGCCAGGGAGGTCTTCTGCAGCTACTGGCCATGCCCGTCTCTGCAGGAGGAGAGACTGCTCCTTCCTGTAGTTGGCACCTGTGTGACTGATGCGCATGTCACGCTCTGTGTGGCAGCTCCAGGGAAGCAAGGAGAGGTGGGAGGGAGGGAGGGCCTGTGGCCAGCAGATGTGCTCTGGCGACTTCCTGTGATCCTGCTGTTAAATTCAGGAAGACAGAATTCCCCCGTGAGGGTTTGTGCTTGGTACTTGTCACAGAGCGTCAGTTGACCACTGGCAGGTCTGCTTCCTGGGAAGGCGGGACTTGGTGATGCCCGATACTCTTACCAGATGGTGACATCAGAACCCGTGAGGAGAGAGAGGCTCTGAGGGCTTGTCTCACGGGGCAGATGAAGCATCTTCCTGAAAGACAGGCAAGGGCACCTAGAAAACAGTGCATAAACTGAGTGGGAGTTTTTTTTCTGAAATAGGAAGAAAGGTGCCAGAGAAGCCTGTGCCCACTGAAAAGTGGCCCTGTACGTGGGCTGGGCTTGGACACGTCCCTCAGCCTGGAAGCCCCGGTTTCCCCACCGGCACAGGCCCCTTCCCCATGCCCGTGCCCCGTGTGCCGAGTGGACTGTGATCCCCTGTACGGACCCCTCTGGTGGAGGGAGCAAGTTGTAGCTCAGGGCAATGAGGTGGGGAGACGTCCTCCCTGGGGTACCCTCGCCCAGGCCCAGCTTCAGTCCCAAGCAGGGCGCTCGTGCTGGCCTCAGACTGCAGACGGGCTCTCCACGCAGCCTCTGCTCAGCAGGGGCTTTTAGGCCATGCCTTGCTCGGACACAGTGCCCCTGTCCCCCAGTACTTTCCCTGAACTGGGGGGGCTTTCCGTGGTACCTGATGGACTATCAGCCCGGGCACCACAGTTCTAGGGAGTAGAGAACCCAAGGTGTCCCAGTAACAGCATGGATTTCCATGAAGCACTCCTCATGGCATGATGGGGGTCCACGGTCTTCTGCGGGAGCCCTCCCGTTGGCCCATCGTGTGGATGAGACAGCCGAGGCCCCGGATGGGACCATGTGTGACAGGAGCTTTCCCGCCCGCCCTGCCCACTGCCGCCTCACTCACGTCTGTGTCTGTTGGGTTGCAGGAATAAGGAGCCCTTGCAGGACAACGTCATCGCGACCTACGAGGAGCACGAGGACAGTGTGTACGCCGTGGAGTGGTCCTCGGCGGATCCCTGGCTCTTTGCCTCCCTGAGTTATGACGGGCGGCTGGTCATCAACAGGGTCCCCAGGGCTCTGAAATACCACATACTGCTCTGATGCGCTTGCTGGCCCTCCTGGCTTGTCCCCTTGGCAGATTCTTGAAAACGTGCAGCTATTTGGAGGTGATTAGTGTTCCAAGTACACCCTGAGAGAACTGACCCTGCCTTGTTCCTGCTCGAGCATGTGCACTGCTGACACCGGGGCAGGTGGACGCTGTGCAGGGGACGCCATTCTAGGAGTCCATGTCTGCCCGCCACTGCTCGGGCTCTGTTTTCTGTTTTAAGGCTGTTGGGAGTTTTACTTTTTTAAAAAAATTCTGTTCCCACAATATTATCTTTCTCTTTCCCTTGAGATTAAAAATGAAATAAAATAAGGCCGTATGGCCCTGGCTCCTGGCTCATTCTTTCAGGATCTCTGCCCCTCGTGTGTTCGCATCACCTGCGTCTTTGTTCATTTTCTCTGTCCCACCTGGAAAGATACAGATGGGGAGAGGTACCCCCTCCACAGTGCCACCAGTGCAGAGCCCCAGGTCAGGGAGGAGCATGTTTCCCTCCAGCACCACGTCCTGCCCAAGCAGTGCTGATGTCCTTGGGTGCTGTCCCCCATTGTCCAGGAAGCCAGGATGGGGCTCTGCACCCGGCTGGTGGGGGCTCCCCACTGTCACTCATCTGTATCAGCCCCTCTCTGGGAATCCCTAAAATGGATCATGCAACCTCTGTCTGTGGGCCCCCGGGTTCTGTTCTGTGCATGCTTGGTTTGTCACCCTACCTGGTGAAGCCACCCCAGCCGGGGACACTGGGCTCCACCTGGCCAGGTGCCCTGGCAGGTGCTGCTCTACTCTCATGCCCTGAGTTTCCTCTCCTGTGATGAGAGGGAAGGACTGGACGAGTTGACAGGCCCAGTCAGCTCTAAGGCTTCAGCATCTACCACAAGCCTCAATCTACAGAATTGACCTGTTATTTTAAAACACATGTAAAAATGAAACATTCTTGCTGTGGCCATCTCTTCCTCCTGGAGAGTCTGTGCATTGTTTTCTAAGGACACTGTGAGCCCAGAAGAGCACATTCTGGATTTTGTTCTTCTTGGTGGTGAGAGTTCATGGGGCAGAGTGGGGGCCCCAGGGGAGGGATGAACAGGCGATCTGAGGGAGGGGCGGGGAAGGTGGGGTCATGGGGGGCGGCTGTCAGGCGTGTCCCGTCAGGCATGTCCAGGGCCCTTCAGCATTTCTGCTTTCAAGTGAGACCCACACACGTGGGGTACAGAGCAGCCCTAATGAGCGTCCTCCCTCCAGTTTGCTGCTGCTTGAAAGAAAAAACCTGTGTGTTTAACAGAAATGTACTGAGTGCCTGCTGTGCGCCAGGCACTTCTAGGTGCTGCAGACGCCACACTGAACGGGGCAGAGGTCCGGCTGCACTCACACAGTCTGTGCGGTGACAAGGGCAGGTGCTATGGAGGGGCATGGAGTGGGGCGGGTGGGTGGAGGAGGTGGCCTTGCTGAGGGGCAGAGCTGTGGGGTGGCGCTGCCCACATGCCGGAATGGGCAGTGTTGGCTGGTGTGGGAAGTGGCAGGAGGTCCAGGGCCGGGGCCTGAAGGGCGTTGCATTATTGAGAAGAGGCATGGAACAGAGGCAAGGACTGCAAGGAGGTGTCGCGGGGAGGCGGCTTATCGCCTCTGATGTTTGCTTGTTTCACAGTCCAGTTCCACGGACGTTCACACGTGTGGGTTTGCACAACCGTCAGCTCCGTCAGGCACAGAGCGATTCATCACCCGGAACCCCTCCTGCTACCCCTACCCCTTTGTCGCCACATCCTCCGCAGCCCTGGCCTGGCCCCATGGTCTGTGCCGTCCCCACAGGCCATGCAGTGTGTCCTACCTGACTCCTTCCTTTGTGCGTTAGCACTCGGTCCTGTGTACGTGCCACTTACCTCGTCACAGTTGAAGGGATCGTGCTGGGCCCAGTGCTTGGTAGTTATGAATAGAGTCTCTCTAAACAGCTGTGGAGCCATAAGTTTTCATTTTCTAGGGCAGGGTTGGCAGCTGTAGCCCATAGGCCAGACCCTGCTGCCCTCTGCTTTTGTGCATACCATGTGGCTGCCCACGGCCACAGTCTCACTCACGCGGGTCTGTGGCTGCTGCTGCAGGACGATGGCAGAAGTGACCTGTGGCCCTGAGAGTCTAAAATATTTCCTGTCTGACCCTTTCCAGAAAAAGTTGGCCAACCCTTGCCCCAGGGCAAGTATTTAGAAGTGCAATGCTTGGTAACTGTCAACTGAAATTTACAACTGAAATTTAAGGCCGTTGAGGCAAAAGATTTTAGAGAAGTTTCTTGGGAGCCAAATATATAGGGATCAACCCTGGAAAGATTAACCAAAAGAGGTGGAAAGTGCTCCTAAGTCTGCCACAAGCAGAGCCATGTTATAGGGAGTTTCCAGAGCGAAGGGAGAGCCCCTCCGGGACACAATCACAGTGGTTACTGATTACATCACGGCAACCAGAAGCGTCTACGTGCAACCTGAAGCAGAGGCTTCAGACTACAGATACTCTTAACGGGATCTAAACGACTTGTCCAGAGCCAGCAGTTTATACATTAATAAATAAATCAGTTCTAACCACATACATTGTTTATCTTAAGAACAAAGTGTGTGCATTGAGTTCATGAGACTTATCCCAAGGTGGGCATTTTGGAAAGCCTGCTTCATTTTGGTTATTTCCTTTATCAGTGACTATGTGTTTAACTTCGTAAGACACTGTCCACCTGCTTCTGGAGTGGCCGCGGTGTCTCACACCCTCGCTGGCAGCGTGGAGGACCCACTCTCTGCACCTTGTGCAGGGTGCAGCCCCATCTCCTTGTGGCAGCAGCATTGAGTGTCTTTGCGTGTGTTTATTTTCCATCTGTCCTCTTTGTTGAAGCCTATTTTTAATATTAAATTGTTAATTGCTTGGGTGTTTAATTACTATTGATTTTGAGGGTTCGTTATTTTGGATATAAGTCCTTTTGTTAGCTATGTGATTTGCAAATATCTTCTAGTTTTTATCCCATCTCTTCATTCTCTTAACCATGTCTTTTGCAGAACAAAAGTTTTGAATTTTGATGAACTCCAACTTATACAGTTTTTTCCTTTATGCTTCAAGCTTTTGTTGTCATATCTAAGAACTCTTCCTAATCCCAGGTCACCAAGATTTTCTCCAGTGTTTTCTTCTATAAGTTTTATAGTTTTGAGATAGGAGGTGTTCAGTTTCCCTGGGTTCAGGTTTCAAGACACACCTCTGGGTGTCAAGTCGGTCCCCATGGTCTCACGCCCCTCCTCTGGACCCTCCTCTGGACCCTCCTCTAGAGGAGAGTTACTGTTGCTTTTGGACCTATTTTTGGCACCAACACAGGCAGATTGAGACCACAAGGGGCTGGCTTATGCAAGTCTGGTGGCTGGGCATGCTCAGTAGAGAGAGGTCGAATAACCCTGATAGCTGAGCATGCTCAGTAGAGTGGAATTGATATTCATTAGATAGCATGGCTATGTATTGGACAGTGAAACTATAAAAGTGGAATCCCACAGGAGGAGGTGTTATTGCTCACTTTCTTGGGGCCAACCTGCACTTTGCCTGCTGAGGTGTGTGTGCTTTCTTTTGCATCAGACTTACTTTTGGCAAGTGGTTGCTCACTCTTGAGCCAGCCTGCACTCTGCACTAAACTTTAAGTGTGTGTTTCTTGCTTTTGTATTAGACTTGGTGTGGGTCATGCTTGGTCTCTGGAGCTAGGCTGTAGTCTCTCTGTGAAGTCTATCTCTTTTATTTATTACATTGAACCTGTTCTCACTTTCTCCAGTGACTCTGCTCTTGAATTCTTTCCTGTTGCAGAGTCAAGAACCTGGTAAGAGGACAGGGTGGGAGAGGCCGGCTATTGGGCCTGGCAGACCCTTCCTCCGACATCAGCTTTACATTTTGCATTCAGATCTGTGACTCATTCTGGGTTAATATCTTGGGGAGGGAGTGTGGTTGAAGCTGTGGTCTCCTCCTCACACAGAGGGCCATGTCACTCTCCTCTTAACCTGCTTTTGCTCTTTTCTCAAAAATCTGTTGGCCCACTCGTGTGGGGCTGTTTCTGGACCATCCTGTTCCACCGGTCCACACGTCTGTCATCCAGGAGTTTGTAGACAGCTTTATGGGTGTTTGCGTGAGCTCCTCCTCTGGGATTTCCCAGTTCTCCCCGGCTCACTGAGGCTTCCCTTCCTGACCCTGCTACCATCAGCCGGGGCTTGTTCACCCTGGTTGCTGCACCCTCTGCACGGCTAGGGCCAGTGGTGGGAGGACAAATAGAGCCACAGGTGTCCTCACCCCCATCGGTCGGAGAGAAAGGGTCATGGGCTTCCGCAGGTCCCTGTGGTCGCCACAGACTTGCATGAAGGCTGGGGTTAAGGTAATAAGCCTCTTCCTAAGAGTACATTCCCCACCCTTTGTGGGTGTTTCCAGACCCCGCTCCTGTTCCTCAGCCAGATCCAGAAGGCCCTGCCTTCTTGCTCGTGGTCCTGCCCTAAAGGGCACAGAAGCATGAGTAGTAACCACAGGGCATGTGCCACAAGAGGTCGTTTTTCTCTTTAAGGAGAAATATCTCTATGTCTGAATGCTGATGGGATAATCCAGTGCAGAGGGACCCAGAGGAGAGGAGCAAGGTCCTTGCATGGGCAGGTGAGGGTGGGACCTGGTGCACAGCTCCAAGTGAGGCAGGTGAAAGGTTCTTTGTAGAAAGTTACGTGACCCCAAGTCTTTTGCATGAGGAGGACCAACTGTCACACATCAGGTGCTGGTGAGTCCTAAATGATGCTGCCGTTTGCAGAATGCATGCCCCACTTTCAAACACAGGGTGCAGTCTTGTTTTCACGGCCTCTGTGAGATAAACGGAGCAAGTGTCCCTGTTTCCAGGATGCAGAAACGCAGAGTGGCCAACGGCTGCTGCCCAGGTCTGCGCGTCAGGCCCGTCTCAGTTCTGTCCCTACCCTTCCCCAGGTCTCCCGGGCCCTGCCTCCTGCGGTCCTCACCACGTGCAGCCAGTGACCTTTAGGTAGCTGAGGAGACAGTGGAACGGTGCCGGGAGGGAGCTTACACACAGACTGTCTTGCATGTTTTGTCACCACACCTGCAGTCACCCACTCTGCTTCCAAAGCTCTGCCGCCGGCCCTTCTGTGTGCAGTGACAGAGAGTCCTCCACTGTGCTGGGGCCTGGCTGCGGGTGAGTGGCTTGTCACATGGCCCTTCCTCACTGAGATCTGGGGAGGGGATGCGGGGCCTTGCCCTGGCCACCTGGCCTCTCTGCAGCGCCGGGTGCTGTCTTGTGTCGCCATAGCGGCCAGCTGGCCTCAAGGTCAG